TTAGTATTCCAGTCATTGTTCATTCCTCATTCATTTCTCGTCATTCTTTGTCTTGAGAGAAGTCTGTTTTCATTTTAGGTAGATACTTGGTTTGTGACAATAACTGCTTATATCTAAAACCCCATTCCGGTCATACCACCTTGAATACACGCCATCCCGTCAGATGTGGCAAGTTAAGCGACGTTGGGGCTGGAAATGCTGGATCAGCCACCCAGGCCAACCAGACCATCCTTCTTCCGGGAATGGTAAATTGGTAGCAGATCCGTCTGAGATCTGGGAAGGTGAAACTGCTCTACATCGGCTGGCTCGGCTGGTATAGCTGCATCGTACTCAGTGAGCCACCTTCAACATGCAAGCAGCATGCGTGCCGCATCCTAAAAGGGATTGATAACCGCGAAGACTATCCTCTTATTAGGAACCCATTTGTAGTTATTTTCGTAAGTTTTATTTTATTTAATGCTTTCGTCATTACGATTTTTTTCAGACCACACGATAAGTGGCAGAACAACGAAAGTCAGCAAAAATGTGGGCGAATTGGAAGATGATGTTCACGTTTGTATAATGTGCCTTAGAGCCATAATGAATAATAAGGTGAGAATAACACTAATATGTACTATAAAGTTGTTCACGATATATGTGTACACGATGTGAACTGTCTCGAGAGTGGATTTTCGAAGGTTTGTATTTCAGCGTGGTTTTGAACTGGTATTTGCCGATTCGAGAGCAATTTATTGTATTGTACGGAGTATACTACATCAAAGTCTACGGTGAGGTTTTGCGTTACCTCCTAAAGATAAACCGTACCCTCACCTCTGGGAGCGATTTTTGCCACACCCTAGGTAAATAGGTTCACAGCTGCCCTCCACTTCCACCCCCTCCCTCACCTAATTGGCGGTATAGTGAAAGTCCTAGATAACTGCTATTTTTGATAGTTAAATTTAGTGCGGAAGATGTTAGGAGCATGTGGAAGGGAAGGGGGGTCGTATCCCGCAAAAATTTCCCCCAGCAATAGGAAGTTCCCTGCTGGTCGTGCAAAGAACCTGGCCATTTTATCTCTCTTCATGTGAGCAGATAAAGTAAAGCAGCGTTCAGACTTCGCGACGGCAGCGCTTCGGTCGCGCGTTCGACGCGATCGATGCGCATGCTTTCGACTGCATCGATCGCGTCGAACGCGCGACCGAAGCGCTGCCGTCGCGAAGTCTGAACGCTGCCTAAGAAATGTACCGTTTGTACAAGATTGGCAGTGTTCTTGAGAGGGGTCACAATGGACCCGCTGGCAGGGAATTTTAGCTTCAACGGTTGAAGAACGTCTTCTAGCGCGGCCGTATTTCGCGCCTTCCTCCAGGTGTGGCGGTAGGTATACGTATACGAAGAGTCGGCAGACCCAGCGGGCGAATGCGCCGCCTTGGTGAGTAGGGTAAGGCATTACCGGCCAAGAAAACTGACGAAGCGAGTGGGCGAAACAACAGCATCGCCCGCTCTCACGTTCTTCACTGGAGGGGGGGGGCAAATCAACAGATATACAACCCCTCCCTCTGGTAGTACCTTTCATGATGTTGAAATGTTCACCAAACATTAAGCTGATGGTAGTTGTACGGCATGTTCTGAGTGTGTCCTTTGCTCACAGTATCAGTAATGTTTCTGAAATTCAAACTGGTTGCCCACATCTAAACTCTCGTCTTTAGAACCAAGACTTTGGTGATGCAAATGCTGTCATCGATATGCATGGTTCAAGGTGGCCAGGAGCTAGTGAGCGATGCGTTCGATCAGTTCAGATTGGTAAGGATGGTTTTATTCACTCGTATCCTGGTTCGGGTCTGGAGATCCGTGTTGCGGCGAAAACGCATTTGCATTTGCACGCATCTAACTAGTTTCGGCCTGTCTTCGCTGCTGGGATCTCCTGACCTTTCTCCTGACCCCTTCGTTTGCAAATATTCTCTACTACAACTTAGTTTTTTTTTACTTTCCCACTTGAGTTTTATCTTACAAGAATCACTTATCAGTTGTTTTCCCCAGCTCTTATCTCTTATCAGTTTATTAGTATGTCTCGACCTCGACCCAATATGACGAAAGTTCAAAGCTCTACTTTCAGGATTATCGTGAAAGGCATCGTTTCCAAACGCTGATGTACTTTATACGAAATCCACCTGGTTAGTTAGATCATTTACTGATCGGCTTATTGATTTTTTTGTTTCCTTTCGAGAAGGTTCTATTGATTGGACTTTTAGAATTCCATGTGGAATTCCTATCATCGGCTGTACAGTTTTTGGATATTTTCTCATCGGTTGAGGACCTGAATCAGAAGGTTTACCTACAGTATGAGCTGCATTTACTTGGTCTCGATGACTTCATTGATGTGAGTTTATCCGTTAGTTATATTTTTGGAGCTCGAGTTTTGGAACCAGTTTTTTTAGAATTCAGAATTTTTAAGGGGCTCAAATCACTGTCAAAGGAGCAAATTCAAGCCCTTTTCTTTATTCAGGAGATGGCAGAATGCATGTCGGATGAGTTACAATCCCGAATGTCTGCCTATGTGAATGGAGAGATGGACGTTGCTGCCCTTGTCGAAGACTCGCAACAAAAAGCTCGTTTGGCAGAGGAATGCGAACAGCTGAAGAGTAGACTTTCTCATGTAAGAGCTGTTGTGGGAGCTTTTTCACAGATATGCCCATTGTGGGAAGCGCTGGGGTAGATCTGGGCAGCGCGGTACTTATTAGATCATATTGGGGGGGGAGGGGAGGAAAGGAACAGGGATGATAGGGAGGTTTTTAGAATGTTGTAGTTGCTAAGAAGCTGGCGCCACTCTAGTTGAATGGAGGTGGGGGGGGGCACGCTGGACCTGTCTGCGGCCCTTCGATGCGTCATTTCACCCATAGAGTAGTCCTTGACTCTCCTCTGTTCATCTTGGAAGAGCCCAGACGACTGAATTCCACGCAGCCTAGTCTCACCGCCTCATGTCTCCCCACCCCCCCCCCGCAATCCTTGTGGGCCCAAAAGCTCACGCTTACCTTCGTATCGCATAGTCTTCAGAGTTCAGATGGAGCCATCGAATACAGTACATATCCCGCAGATGGGTGGGGCGTGGCTACATACCGACACTTTCTCCCTCCATCTCCGGGCTATAGAGTGTAACATGCCTATTAGTTGCATGTACAGGAGTTACCCCTCGTATCCCTCGTGTACAGGAGCTACCCCTCGTGACCTTACAGTCAGGGCGCGCCGTGCCGTTCGGGCAAAGTTTCACGAAATACGACCTCTCCTTTCCCCGTCCTACCTTCTGTCTTGCTGAGTTCTTCCGGATGGGAGGGAGAACATTCAGCTTATTATAAGGGACGGGAAAAATCGCGAAAAGATACCAACTGAAAGCATTTTTCTCAACAGCAAACGCGACGCACCCCCCCCCTTCATCTACCAAATACGACCCCTTCGCTGGAGATACCCAACGTTCGACGTACCCTGCTCAAATGCTGTCCCTTCTAACAACGGAATCGTCATAGAACCTTACAATTCATTAACTTTGAAGGCGATTGAACGGGTCCAAGAGGTGGAGGCAAAATGGATCACGGACAAAGCAGCTCTCGATCGGAGGTTATTGGATCTTGTACGAGAGCGCGAGAGGATGCAAAAGGATTATGAAGCTCAAGAGGGAACGTGGAAGAAGACGATCAGTCAGTTATTTCGGAACTCTGTTCTTATTGTTTTATCAGCCTGATCATTGATCTGTTTTTACTTTTTTATCAGCTTGCTCGCTGATCACCTTGTGAGTGGTTTGTGACCATACCTTTGAAGTTTTCATAGGTTTATGCTTGGTTTTAGGCGAGAAAGACCGTCAAGCACGAGAACAACAGTCAAGACTTGAGCAGAAAATCCAGGAACTCGAAGCGATCCAGAAGACAATGCAAGGTATTCGGCGAAGATTTAAAGTTTTAAATGTCCAAAATGAGTAATGCACTCTATGAACTTCCAGCTGGACTGCAAGTACAACAGCAAGCGAAATCACCTCCGACTCCGCCTCCTCCGGCACCAGGTCCACATCGTGAGAGTGGAGCACCACCTGCGCCAGCTCCACCTCCAACTGGCTTACTTGCTCCGGTCACTGGTGGACCTCCAGCTCCGCCTCCTCCACCCGGCTTATCAAGTAGGTGTTGTTCCTTCAAATTACGCGACATTCTGACGTTCAGCTCGGTAAACTATACATGGTTTAGATGGTTCGTCCGCTAATGGCGGAGCCCCACCTCCACCTCCGCCACCACCGCCAGGATTTGGCAAAGGTGGTCCGCCTGCTCCTCCACCTCCAGGATTCATGATGAATGGTCCCGCTGCAGATACACTAAGGAAGACGTACCAAACCAGGTTGGTAAGGGTGAGAGTAGAACTAATTGAGGACGCATTCCGTAATCAGCGAATGGGCGGTCTTTAACGAGCACATCGTCATTGACATTCCTTTCGTCTTTGCCGTATCCAGAAGAGGGATGCGCCAATGAGGAATGCACAATGCCTATGAGTCTCCGCCCATTTTATTTCACCTACCCCCTTATTGCGGAATCTTTCTATAGCGTATTTTTTCACCCGACTTGGGTTTCTACAGATTTTATTTGCAGCGAACACTTTTAATTGAATTGGTTCCGAATGGTTCGAATAATAAGGAATTTCAGGAATAAGCTCCCTCAGTTGAACTGGACGGCAATGAAACCAAACCAGGCAAAGAACACCGTTTTCGAAGATCTGAACGACGAGAAGATCATCGAGGTATAGCTGTTCTTTTGTCATTTCATGTTGTTCTACAGATTTTTTTCTTTGCTATCGATCATTTTTTAATTATCCTCTATGAAAGTGACCTTTTTCAGAAACTGGATTTCTCTCATCTGGAAGAGATGTTCAAATTAACGCCTGTGAATAATAACAATATCATGGAGAATGGTAATCGGTTGGAAGTATCCAGTTCGACGTCAGTGATTGGACAGCACAGCCCCGGTTCAACAGGCAGCGGACCAACGAAAGAAGAACTCGTTGCTTGACACCAAGCGATTGCAGAACGTTGGTGAGTATTGAAGAAGTCTACGAGTTTTTTGACTATTCATGCAGCTTTGGTACTGGGCAACATGGGAGGGACAAAACATTCTCCCTCGGGCACCGTTCAGACTTCGCGACGGCAGCGCTTCGGTCGCGCGATTCGACGATCGATGCGCATGCTTTCGACTGCATCGATCGCGTCGAACCGAAGCGCTGTCGTCGCGAAGTCTGAACAATGCCATAGGTGATCTAGCCATGAGGTATTGGCTAGGTGATTCGCGTGGCGTCGCGTGCGCGGAATTCGCACTAGTGCCAAATTGATTGA